CTCCTCCTCCTCCTCCTCCTCCTGTCCTCCTCCTCCTCCTTCTCCTCCTCCTCGTCCTCATCCTCCTCCTCTTCCTCATCATCCTCAGCAGCATCAGTATCATCAGCATCATCAACATCATCAGCACCATCAGCATCATCGGCATCATCACCGACAACAACAGCATCATCAGCAGCATAATCCTCATCCTCATCCTCATCCCACTAATCATCATCGTCATCATCATCATCATCATCATCATCATCATCATCATCATCATCATCATCATCAGCATCAGCATCATCATCATCATCATCCTCATAGTCATCATCATCGTCATTATGTTCACCACCACCACCACCGTCATCATCATCGTCATCATCATCATCATCATCAGCATCAGCATCAGCATCAGCATCAGCATCATCATCATCATCATCATCAGCATCATCATCATCATCATCATCAGCATCATCATCATCATCATCATCACCATCATCAGCAGCAGCAGCAGCAGCATCAGCATCAGCATCAGCATCACCATCAGCATCATCATCGAGCGGGCAGGCGCGGCACCTCCTCGCCGTGGCCGATTACCTGGACGACGCCGCCGCGCAGCGGCGCACGCAGCTGCGCGTGCCCGCACGGGCGGCCAGGTGCTGCGGCGCCCGCTGGGTAGCCGCGCTGGCGGCCGTGGCTGTAGCGACCGCCGCCGCCCTGGCGGCGCTGGCCACCGAGGCCCGAGCTGAGGCCGTCGCGCCGGCCAGTAAGCACAGCCGACGCCGCCACGAGCGCTTCAACAGGTGGGTGCTGGAGGCGCTCGAGCACGGCGCAGGCGGGCTCCGCGCATGGCGGCGCGGCCCGCGCGGCTGGCAGGAGGACGAGCTGGATCTGCTAGGCGCCCCGAGAGCGGGCCAGCGCGAAGTGGACGCCATCGGCAGGTACTGGGTACTGGGCGCACGAGGTCTGGAGCATGGCCGACGGCTCGGACGGTTGGCAGGACTTCGAGCGGCAGACGGACTCGGAGGCGCTGCCCAGGCCGACGGCGGACGAGTGGCTGGGCGCCGCCAAGTCGCTCGCGAGGCGCTCGAGCCTGGGCGTCGACCGCGTCTCGCCCCGAGCTTTTGCCCAGGTGTCCGCGGCCGCGGCCGAGCTCCTCGCGGACATCGGCATGGCGGCCGAGGAGTGGGGCGGCTGGCCGCTGGCGGCGCGGGCGTCGCTCATCGCGATGCTACCCAAGCCCGCGCGCGGCTGGCGGCCCATCGGGCTGCTCTCCAGCATCCCGCGGCTCAGGCAGGCCGAGGCTCGGCGCAGGCGCCTGCTGGGCGGACCAGGGCGCTCGGCCCAGGAGCCCGCGCGGCGCCAGGCGCTGGCGGCCGGGGCGGCGGGGGCACAGCAGCTCCGCGGAGCAGAGGAGGAGGGGGGGGAGAGGGAGGAGAGCGCCCCTGTAGCGCTCAGCAGCCCGGGCCTCCCGCCTCGGAGCCGCGCCCCCGCGAGCGGCTGCGCGGGCGGCCCAGCGGCTCGGGGCGGCCGCCCCAGAGCGCGGCGCTCGCGCCTCCCCGCGTGGGGTGCCGCCCCTGCCGCGTCCTCCTCAGCGCGGCGGCCTGGCGGGCACTGGCCCCTCCCGCGCACGGGCCGCGGGCGCCGTCCGCGGGGCGCCCGCAGACCGCGCAGGAGACGAGGTGGCGCGGCCCCTCGCCGATCGTCCAGAGTGGGTGCGACTCGTCGAAAACTACCGCTCCACCAGCGTGGGCGGCCGCTCGACCACGGCGCCCGCGGCCTCGCCGTTCTCCTCCGCGTCGCCGTCGGCGTGCTGGGCGCCCCCGCGAGCTTGGGCCGCCAGCGCCGCCGCTGCCATCGCGCCAGCGACGGCGGCCCCCGCGCCCTCGGCGCCTCGTCGGCCCGCGCTCGCGGTGGTCCGCGCGCGGCCGCGTCGCGCGTCGGCCCCCCGGCCAGGGGCCTGGCGCTTCCGCCCCGCCGACCAAGGCCCAGGCGGCCCGCCGCGGACGGGCGCGCCGTCCGATCGGCCAGCGCATGCGTTGCAGAGCCAGAGCGCCCCGCTCACGTCCGAGAACGCCGCGGCGTGCGCGGCGCGGGGCCAGCGTCTGCAGCCCGGCCTGCCGTCGCGGCAGCGCGCGGCGCCCCGCCGCCCGCGTCCGCGTCCGCAGGAAGTGGGCCCCGCCGCGCCAGCGCCCGCGCCGTCGGCGTCGCGAGGGCGGCGCTCCCCAGTTGCAGCGCCTCGCCGAGCCAGCGAGCCGTCGCCGCCGCGATCGCGTCGGGCGGCGGTGGTGACGGACGTGGACGGGGTGGTGAAGCACGCTCTGTGGGGGTGGTACCACTGGCCGAGGCACCCCTCCAGGCAGCCCGCGATGGAGAAGATTATGCGATCCTCCAGCTGGTGCTGAATTCAGTTTTGAGTCGGGGCGTCCAGCTCCATATATATATTGTGCTGGCACGGTTCATTGCGCCAGGGACCCTCGGGCGGCCGCCCTCGGGGCTCCTCCGCTGCGAAGAGCGGCGGCAGCGGGCGCGCGTTGGCGCGCTGCTGGCGGGGAGCGCGGGGGCCGCGCCCGAAGGGGAGGGACAAAAAGGCCGCCGGCTCCGCGAGGTTCCCAGGGACACAAATAATGGCGTAAGCATAAAAACTCGGAGGTCAGTCGGCGCCGCCGCCGCCGACGGACCTCTGATTTACTGTTCATGGTTATGCCATTGTTCGTTCCCCATACGAAGCAGAGGGACAAAAAGTCCGCCGGCTCCGCGGAGGTTCCAGTCTTGGGGCGTTTTCGTCGGTTCTGCCTCGGTATCTGCCTGGCCCCACCTCGGGGCGGAGGATCCCACTGGCGAAGGAGGAGCTGCGTCATCCAGCCAAGACGGCGTCAGAAGCCCTCCGCCAGCAGGCGCCCAACAGACCCCCAAGAGGCTCCAAGAGGCCCCCGAGAGGTCCAAAAGATGCCCCAGCATGCCCCTCAAGCGGTTCTCCAGAAGCAAAACGCTTCATCACCCGTGGCCTTCATTTCTCCTCTTGGGTTTGGGTGGAATGGCGCAAGCCACTTGAATGAGAGTTGCTCCATCCAGCCTTCTTATCCCATCCGCAGCGCACTGGCACCTGATCTCCCATATAGGAGGAGGGAGGAGGGAGGAGGGAGGGAGGGAGGAGGGAGGAGGCGGAGGAGCAGGAGAAGGAGGAGCAGCAGGAGGAGGAGCAGCAGGAGGAGGAGGAGGGAGGAGGTGGGAGCGTCATCGACTGGACCAACACATTGGGGCCGATATGCGGTGGGGGGGGGCGTCCGGCCTCGATAGTGGTGCCTCCCCAAGGCCCCCTGAAGGAAAATCCCAGAAGTCCCCCTCCTGGCCTCCTCCTCCTCCTCCTCCGACCTCCTCCTTTTCCTTTTCCTCCTCCTCCTCCTCCTCCTCCTCCTCCTCCTCATCATCATCATCATCCTTTTCCTCCTCCTCCTCCTCCTCCTCCTCCTGCCCCTCTCCTCCTCCTCCTCCTCCTCCCCTCCTCCCCCTCCCCCTCCCCTACGGACTTTGACCAGTGCGAGCACTGGCCGCAGGATACTGACATGTCATTTGTCGGCCGTGCTCCTACCAGGATTCTCGCCATCCGCATGCCAGTTTTGGCTGAGGTGTTAAAAAACACGCCTGGTTCAGGCAGATGCTCGCACGAGAAAGGCATACATATGACTCTTCTAGGTAAGGATAAGAACAAATGTCGCACCGCGGGGAAAAATATTTACCCCACTGGGCTCTGTAGGTCTCTCGCTCGAGCTATGTTCTCCTCAGTGGAGCAATGTGTGGTCTCCGAGAATGAGGACGCGGATTTCGTTTTCGACCGAGATTCCCCCGAGGTGCTGATGTCTCTGTTTGATGTCCTTGTTCCGTGGAGCAACGACGCCGACGAGCGTTTCTCGGTTCCTTCGGACTTTAAAGGCCAGTCAAAGTATCGTAAAAGGGCTGACCCAGAGAAACACAGATTTATGTCCGAGTCCGCCTATCTTCCTGGGTCGGACTCGTCTCACATTCAGGAAGCTCTTGAGGCCAATGAAGAGCAGAGATATATCGAGAGTCAGGCAGAGGCTGCGGCAGCAGCCCACGACAGCCATTTTGGCGTGTCCTGTCATCTCCCTCCGCTCTCGTCTCCTCCGACGTCGTTGACGCCGTCTGTGGTCCCCCCTCCTCCTCCACCTCCAGTCTTGAGCGAGGCTCAGTTAGCCCGCATCGAGACGAACCGAGCAGTGGCCAGGGCCAGGCGCGCGGAGCGCGCCAGGCAGGCTCACTCCCTCCGAGCTCCGTGGAGCGCTGGAGGCACGCTCAGGGGTAACTTCTTCGGGGAGCCCTCTGGGGTTCAGGGCCCCGATCTTTTCTTCTTTGGAGGATAAACTGGTGGTGGCGTAAGTGGTGGATCCTCGTGAGATCCCAAGGGCCACCCACCGGTTTCCCTCGTGGGACGAGCACGCAGACAGCGAAGCCGAGCGTCGCATCATCACTCCCCCTCCTTCCCCTCCTCCTCCTCCTCCTCCTCCTCCTCCTCCTCCTCCTCCTCCTCTCCTCCGTCTCCTCCTCTTCCTCTCTCCTCCTCCCCCTCCCCCCTCTCCCCCTCTCCTCCTCCTCCTCCTCCTCTCCTATCCTCCTCCTCCTCCTCCTCCCTCCTCCTCTCCTCCTCTCTCCTCCTCCTCCTCTCCTCCCTCCCCCTCCTCATCCTCCCCCCCATCGCCGCTCATGGTCCTGAAGCTCAAGCTTAGACATCTTCAACAATTTTACGGGTGGAAGACGGGTGGCTTTCAACATGTGGTTCTCGCTTTAGAGCCGGACGTATTCGTCTTAACCGTGTGCAGCGACTTCACGGATGGAAAACGACCCACAGGAGTTTGCAACAGTTTCAGAAATACAGGGGCGTCCTTTCAAAATGTGGTTTTCGCCGTAGCACCGCGCACACTCGTCCGAAAACATGGCAACAGCTTCCTGGATGGATGGCGGTTCCGTTTCAAAGTATGGTTCTCGCCTCAACTTCGCGCTCATTCGTGAAACACTTCTGCGCAGCTTAACGGATTTGCATAGTCGAAATCCCGCGAATGGTACTCTGGCGCGATTGGGGGTTATCAAGACGCAGGAACCATACTGACTCGCCGTGTTGAAGTCCACGAATAATGTTCTGCACGATTTAGGACAGGACGCAACAGTCACGTTGATCCACGGCCTTGAAATCCCACGAGCTGTGCTTCCACACGGGTGGATTCAATGCAACATCGTTGATGCGTGTTGGGTTTCCACAGCTTCTCCTCCTCCTCCTCCTCCTTCTCCTCCTCCGCCTCATCATCATCATCATCAACAGCATCTCCTTTCGGTAGAAACCACGCGTTATCATGTTTATCTGGTCGACCTGTAAGTAGTGTTGTTGCTTTGCTCTCGCGTCTGGATATGGTTTTCCAACGTGAAGCAGACATTTGCGCGACGCGACACCGAGCGCGTGGATCAAGCGAGCTTGCGGTCTAAAAAACGCCCAGCATGGCATCGAACGACAGTTGAGGATAAAAGCCTGCCGCCTGAGTGAAACCCTCCGCGCGCCAATGGCGCACGCTAGGCGACCAGGGACTGCGAGGGACTCCGCGTCAACAGGAATGCGCCGAGAAACGTTCCTGAGCGTCCAGTGACACTCAGCGGGAAGCGGGAAGCAGCGGTGCGGGGGTCACCCGCGCCCGGCCCCTGGAGGGCGATCGGGCTCGCTCATGCACAACCAAGTCTTGGCCGAGACGCCCACGGGACCTTCCAAAGCCGAAAGGGACATGGCAGAGCCAGTGCGAAGTACGTCAGGGCGCGCGACAAGCCCCAAGGGAGGCCCGATTGGCCCCAGAGCAAGCCCCCCCCCCTTAGAGGCCCGCGGCGGACCGTCTGGATGCGGCCCGGGCAAGGGCGCAGCCCAGACCCGCGACCCGTGAAATGACCTCCTGCTTGGGCCAGCCCGACAGCAAGAATCGGTCATGTCACCGAGCAGGGCTGGCGGAGGCTCCAGGCGGCGGACGCTGCGCGCGCCCCGAAGAGGTGGGCCGATGCACGCAGGGTCGCGCGCCCGCTGGAGCACGCGCACCGACCAGCGCCGCGGCGGGCGCAGCTCCGCGCCTGAAGCACGCGGGGGAGCATGCAGACATTTGTTTCCGAGGCCTAATATGTCCCACCGACATTGCTGGACCGCCTTGGAGGACGCGCTGCTCAAAAAAGATCGGGCCGCGAGCGAGAAACCACATGCGGCCAAAGCTCCTGTTCGGAATCCGCTAGAACCAAATGGCTGACGCATGGCGCATC